ACAGTTTTGGCGATTGTCATTTTGCTTCATGCAGGAAATGAAAATCTTGCTGACTGACAGATATTTATGCAGCACTCTAATGCTTTCTGATTCTACATCACTTAAAGTACATCCATTTATTTTCAATACAGTTTCTATAACTTTAGAGGAAATTGATACTTTTGATGAGAATTAGTTTCTGTATTAGTTGATAATGACCAACTCATTTTAAAATGGAACAATGATTAAAATTCAGCCATTGAACACACGCAATGTAGTGATTTTATGATAAACTGGAGATTTCGAGTATAGCATTTTGTGTCAACAGCGCTGCAGATTACTGTTAATAAAAATAAATGTCAGGCATCCTCTGAGAGGAGGAGGGGGCAAGATTATTTTCAAGAGTATTTTAAACATATGCATCAGAATAGAATAAGAATTATAAATATTTAGAGGACAATGCCATGGCCTTTTATCTAGTACTGTTAGGATTTGTTTGTAGAGTGAGTACAGGCTCAAGTGAAGTCACACCTGCCCATAACCAGGTAAAAATGGTGAGATCTGACCAGTGCATGAGAAACAAATGTAGTTTAACCTGCAGTATCTCACCTTAAATATGTAATTGAAGTTATTTACTACAATAACGACGTTATATTTGCGTTTATCTCCTTATTTTAAGAGCGTATGCATCCTTCTATGCTGACATCCTTCCTGCTGTGTTTGTAAGTACGGTTATTTTAGTAGGAAATGTCCTGAAAAACACCACCAGACAGTCAGACACACTGTACCCGCTCGGATACTCACAGTCCGGGCAGCAGCCATTGAAGGGCATCCTACAGATCCCACAGTTCTCATCGTTGGCCACCCACAACCAAGAGGCCACTCCGTTCCACTGTCGGATCTTCACCTTCATCCTCCGTATCTGACAGGAGCAGAAACACACAACGACACACTCCTGTATGAACCAAAGCGCCTACCGTTAACTAACGTTAGCATGGGAGCTAATGTTGGCAGCAAACTTCAGTGGCTAACAGCTAGCTGTTATCAGAGGTATGACATCAGATAGTGGGTCACTTACGCGGCAACGTCTCCTTCCTACACGAGTTAAGTTTCAGTGTTTACTTGCGAGCTAGAAATCATGTTACGGCCACTTTATTCACAGTCAACAACATGCAGCTAATATTGCAGTAACCCGGGGAACACGTCCCGCCTCTTCTTCCTCTTCTTCTTCTTCTTCTTCTTCTGCTGCTGCTGCTGAAGTTCCGGCTGGCGGGTGAAACGCTGCCCTCCACAGTCCATTGAAGGAACTCTTCTCTCTCTTCTTGTTTTATTGGCGGGTTGCAATCTCAACCCAAGGTGTATACCGCCACCTACCGTACCGAGGTATGTAGAACCGCTTCTAGTTAAGTTTACATTAGTCTATGAACAAAATAAACGAATAATAATAATTAAACAACAACCATGTATTCTACTAAACGATCCGGTGTTCAATAATAAATCTTCCCACACCTTGTCTCCCTTGGACCTATGTCCCTTCTAAACCCCATCCTCGCCCAGCCTCTCTCACCTTCTGTTGTAAACTCTCTTCACTGTATTTGAAACAGTGCAGTATTACATGTTCAACATTTTCACTCCTATTACAATGCACTCATACCTGTGAATGCACCACACCCAGTAAAAACAGTGTTTTTTTTAAACCAATGTAATCAAACCTGAATCTAAATATAACTACATCCTCTCTTCTATTTCTTCCTCTAACACAGTGTCCTATTTCACTTTCCACCAGAGAACTTCTTTCAAGAAAACAGGCAAAAATAACATTCTCTCAAATATTTATATATTATTTAACAAGTGAGGGAAATGTTATCACTTATATTGTTAGATCTTTCCACAAAGATTCTGCACAAGGACAATTCTAAAATGAATGTAACAATTTCTGGCTTCAGGTACTTTTACTTAATGTGAGTATTTACACTTATATATTTCGACTAGAATACATTTCAGAGGGAAATATCGCAGTTTTTTTTTTTTACCTTACCTTACATCTATACTCTGAAGTTACTGGTCAATTTTTAAATTAACCAGTATTTGTATGGAAGAGATACAACAAAGGTCCCTGGACGAGTTTGAAAGGGGGACACTACAGCTCACGGTCAGCGTCCCAAATCACACACCACACTACAACAACATTAATACATAGTTTCAGATTTCCTTCATTGTACAATAATTTAAAAATATATCTAAAAACAATATTTTAGGTGTGAATGAAATCAAAATACACCTTTATGTCAATGTCCTGACAGGTGCTGAAATACATGGCAGCAGTTTCTTTAATATCAATAAACACTGAAATAAATCCAGTTCAATTCAGTCACATATATTACATCACTTAAATTCAGTTTAATAACTACAGTTCATCTGTTACATTCATACAATTAAAATGAATTTCATACAGTTCAGTTCAGCTCAATTCAACTCAAATAACTAGACTATAACTGGTACTATCATAAGCAACTACATTACTAATATAAAATGAAATAAGTGTGATGCAAATTAAATCATAACAAACAATAACAAATTAAAGAGAAAGTCCATCATGGTTCTCTCGGTTCAGTCTGAGCTAACACTACTTGTACATCCTGGCCGGGGATTGGGGGATATTCAAGCTGGCTGTACAAGAACCCACGACAAGAGTCCTCACTGAACTGGCCCTCGTTGTGCTCCTCTCCATCACCGTCTGAGGGGGGTGATTCTGACAGGATGTAGAGGATGTCTTTATTAGAGTCCTGGCTTCTGATGTGGACCTGGATCTCATCTGGGGAGAGGCTTTCATCATCACTGCCATGCATCCTAACCGGGCAAAGCACAACACGGTCATCAGTGGTGGAAAAAGACCAGTGTGTCCGATCTCATGCAGATGTGACTAAGACCGGCAAATTAGACTATTACAGGGAGCAGATTCCCGCTACCACGTTGAAAAACATCAAGACCATCTAGACTTTGTACCTTGTCATTTCCTGTACTTGCTCATCCATTTCTGCCAGCTCATTCTTTGACACTTGGTGAATGATGGCCACGCCGATGCAGTCTCCCATGACATTGACAACAGTGTTGCAGCGGTCTCTGAAAGCAGAGGATACATGCTGCTTTACACTGATTTAGTTTGTTTGTTTAAACTCTTTATTCTTCTAAAATGTTGTCTCTTTACAGCTGATCAGGACCAGGCTGCACTATGTTCAAACCTAGTTATAATGTTTTCTATGTGGAGACTTGAAGCTGGTTGCAGCACACAAACAAGCTCTGCTCTGCTCTTACTGCTACATGATAATAACTGCCAAGTGTTGTGTCTCTGACTGAACTGACAGACAAAATGTGCATTAGCTTGCCAATATATCCCCCGTTGAGCATGAAGAACAAAGGTAATATGACCTGACACATGATCAAAATTCTATTTAGTAATGATTTTAACTTTACTGTTGTGGAGAATGTGGTCAGATCCTTTACGTAAACAAAAGTACTGATGCTACTCTGTGAAAATACTCCAATACAAATAAAATAGTGAGAAATGCCTGTCAAAATTACCCAGAGCCCAAAGTAACACCTTCACATTGTTTATAACGAAAATGAAATTAGATCATTAAAGCAAAGAAAAAGCAAAAAATCCTCATATTTGAGAAGCTGAAACCATGAAATGTTTCGCATGTGAAAAAGGAATGATTACTTAAATTATTTATCAATCACTGTAAAACCTCATATGTTTATTTACTCAAAAATTGTTGAAACTAATTACACAGAAAATGTAATTTTAGTAAAACAAACAAAATTTTGTAAGTTAACTTTCTTGATCAAGTAGTTTTAGTAAGTTTAAGTGACACTGAGTACTGAAAAAAATACTTAATCAGGAATCTTTCTGCAATTTACACAGCTGAGTTTGTGGTACTTAAAATGTTTGATGTAATCTGTTTTAACATTTGTTTTTTGTTATTTAGTTTTTTATTAACTGTTCATGTTTTTTGTGTGAAATCTTTGTTTGTGAAGTACTTAAAGTTCTCAAATAAATTGTTACAACAAAAATGTTTCAGAAAAATATACCTCAAATTAAAAAATCTTACATTAATATCATCAGACTGAATTAACAGGTAACATTAGTTAGGTAACCTATTGCATAATTTCAAAGTTACTTATCCCCTTGCCGCCTAAATCTGTTATACTTGAAAGTTTAGCTATCATTTGTGATGCTACAGTGACATCCAGTTTACATAGTTGATTGTTTTTGATTTGACGGTGCTACAGATGTTTCCCTGACACAAACCAACCCAAAAGCGAAAAAGGCAGCTGTAGTAAGACAACTTGCACCCGTTTCTAGTTCTGAACAACAGATTAAACTTACAGGAGCCATTCTATAACAACCAGAATGGTGGCCTCCTTCGCAGGTAGACCAATCGCAGACAAAACTAAGATAGTGGTCACTGCTCCTGTAGCTGGGGTCCCTGCTGCTCCTATACTGGACACTGTTGATGTCACACTGCAGATCAAACACAGATACAGTAACATAAAACAGTACCATGCATTTTCAAAGTCACTTCCTCTTAAAGATCTCGTATTATATACTTTTAACTAAAATTAACATGATGCTGGGATTTCCTAAAGAACAGGAAGAGCGGCTTACGAAAGAGTAATCAACTGGCTCAGGTTCAGCTCGATGTGATTGAGCTGAGCGATGAAAACTACTGCCACCACTTCATAAAGGGCAGTCCCATCCATGTTGATATTGGTTCCGATGGGCAGCATGAAGCGAGTGATTCTTTTGTCGAACTTCAGTCGCTCCTCACAACATTGCAAAGTAAGTGGCAGTGTGGCAGAGCTTGAAGAAACACAACAAGTTTTAAATGTAGATCTCTCAAAAATGTTACCTGTGTAGACACTGTTCCACCATCTCACCTGGACGAAATGACCAATGCAGTCAGTAAGGCAGGAGAAAACCCCTTGATAGCAGCAATGGGGTTTCTTCTCGTTATCAGCAAATACATCAGTGGTAGAGTTATTGTTCCATGGATTATAAGCCTGAAACACACAATAAGTGCATGATCAACACAGATTAAATCAAATAACAAGAGTTTGCATTCACAATGTAACTGATAGGTAGGAGGACCAGTGTGTAACATTTAGGAGGATCTATTGGAAGAAATGTAATTGTAATACAATGTTTTCATCACCTGAATATAGGAATCATTGTGTTTTTATAGTAAGTGTGTTTCACCTGAAAATAAGAATCGTGTTTACGTTATATTAGAATGAGTAATTTTTATCTAAAGAGGGAGCGGAAAACGCAAAAAACTGAAGCCTGTTGTCCGTTCTGGGCCACATAGTGGGTCATGATGGCGGACTCTGTAGATAACGTCTCATTCTAAGGTGACGAAAGCACAACAATTCTAATGTTAAGGTGATTATACACTACTGAAAACACACACATAAGAATATTATACTCCATTTGTCACAAAGTACCTCCTAAAAATCTTACACACTGTCAAAAAACAAGAAGTGTATCACTAGATGCTTAGAAGGTCATAAATGCTGCTAAATGTAGAACCAAAGCGCTATTTTGGCACAGTAAAGGTGAACATACCCAGTAATAACTACTACCATGAACTTTCCGAGTTTGAAGGTAGTTTCCCAGTCGTGAACCTCAACAACATGGCTTGCAATCAGGAACAGCACTCCAATTGGCAAGTAGCTGGAAGAAAATGATGAAATGAAAAATATAATGGAAAATACTTCATCTGACTTAGTAGAAATGTTTTTTAAGAAACCAGGTATGTTTCTTTCATTATGGTGTGTTGTTTACCCCAGTATCAAGTCAACCACACATTTTGTGGCCTCGTTGAGGATAGTCAAAAACTCCATAAGCGCTTGGCCACTTTCTCCCATTCTGTTAAGGATCACACCAAGAATAAAAGACCAGACAATCAGGCCCAGTATGTTGGTTCCTTCAACATAGCTTCCCACCACTTGCATTTCTGTCAAATTCTGTAACAAGACCAAAAGCTCATTAAGAATCATGGTCCAAGATTATCACTGGAAAATGTAAACTTCACACAATAAACTTCATAGAAACGAGGGGAAAATATTTACTACCAGGTTAGACTTGTGCTCAACTTCTTCATTTCCCATCTCCATCCTCTCACTATGGTACTGTAATACAAAAATAATAATTAGTGTTCATCATAAACATTACATGGAAAGAGAAGAAATAAGCATGGGCGTTTCCAGTTTTCCTTTGACTGGGAGGTCACAAGTGGGGCACTGACTTATGCAGGGGTGGCATCAAGTATGTGTCTCAGGTTCCCAATCATTTTATGCCATTAAAATTCTGTTTATGGACCCCAGCATGCAGACATATTCATATACACTAGACGGAAATAAAACTTTTTTTTGTGCCCAAAATCTGCATGGGATTAGCATAAAGTGGGCATTTCTGCAAAGAGGAGAACTCATTTTCATTCAGATATCTTGAGGTCAGAGAGTCAAGGGATCCCTTTGAAAATGGCCATGTCAGTTTTTCATCATTGGAACTTTGGAACTAACTTATGGTTGGTACCAATGGATGCGTTAGGTCGTCTAGTTTCATATGATACCAGTATCATCACTCTGGCTTTAAAGAAGAGGTAAATATAATGGCCAATCAGATTCCCCCCCCTTCTGGGAATGCCCCTGGAAATGAGAAGTATATACTGTTGTATGCCTTAATGAAAAACATACCTGTCTATAGCAAGCCAGAATCAAGTTGTCTGGGACCATGTTTCTATAAACAATATACAAAAATCATACTAGCAGTGAGCAGACCACACAGGAAATACAGCCGTATTAAGGATGATTTGACATTTGCTGGATGTTTGCGTAACTTGGTAGAAAACCAGACATACAGAATTATTTCTGCACAGGAAAGACATAAATGGATGTGACTCTAAAGGAACATAAGTGATTTGAATTCACTTCTAGTTTCCAGCACTTTGTGAAATTGCACTGACTGACTTAAAAACCTTGCTGAACTGAATACTCCAGAAAGAAAACAGAAATCACGTCAGAATGCACACTTTTCTCTCACCTTATTAGATCCAACAAGGCATCGATAGTGGAGAAGGCCTGCTCATATTCGTCATCATCTTTTTTAACAGCATAAGCAATTCCTGGCTTGATTAGCAGTACCAGTATCAATCCTGCAACACACAACATAACAAGAAAAAACAGGCTGTATGCTATAGCTCTTGTACAATATGAGCCAGAGGTATCATAGGTTTGTATTTTCCATGACTTTTTATTTTTATTTAACTTTTAATTTTTGTTTTTAAATCAGTTTTTCAGGCAAGAAAAAAGGCAACACAATTGGTGATAATTATAAATATATATTGACATTTTGATCAGTTATGTTTAAACTTCATACTTCAAATGAAAGATAAAAGAAAACACTTGATTTTCAGGATTATATCTGTAACGTTTGCCAGTTGAGCTCTCTCTCTCCTTTATGGGCTCTCATTTTTTGCAGACAGCTTGTGGCTCACTTGAAGCAGCAAATGACAAATGTAAAGGTGTAGAAAGTGGCAAAGCCTCTACTACTCACTCTCCTGTTTCCTGTCAGCTAATGAGAATAAAATCCTGTCACTTGATTAATCAAACTACATTTTCACCTTCATCATTCTTATTGCTTGGTGACATCACATAATTATAGCATCAACAACACAATCAATAACAAGTGCATTGACCCTTGTGTTGCACATGATCGCTCACTGAGATATTAATAAGTGCTTTTCCTGATGTATTAAAAACATTTTTGATTTTTAAAGGAAATCATTAAATTTAGTACCTGGTTAAAATACGTAGCTGTATTAAAATTACCAGTGAGTGAGTTTTAAATAGCACATTTACACATGCTAATGAAAAAAAGATAACAGTCAATAACCTGATGCAAGTATTACAATATTAAAGTAATGTAACTTGATTACTTTCAGTTACTTCTGTGTTACACCAGATATGAGACAGAGAGAAAAAAAGACATTTACTTATTCTAGAAGACAACAAAACATTGTAACTCCAGAGAATCCTTTACATAAAAAATGTGTCCGTGCTTTTCATCAGTTACATTTCTTGCCTATAGACCATTTTCATACATGGAAGGCAGAACTTGCCCTGAACTGTGATGTTGTTCCCCTTTCTGCTTTAAAGACAAAATACATTTCCACCCAGTGAAAGTAAGACTAGCTCTGGTTTCACTTGAGACCAGAGTGGCGTTGCAAGACTTGTGAAGTGCTGCAATGTTAGTGCGCTGCACGTGTGCATGGTAGTTTATAAAATTGTAATCCTGATAGTTTTGCAAAATGTAACTGTAATCTGATTACGTCTCATTTTCTGTAACTGTAACAGATAACAGTTACCTTTTTTGTATCCTGATTGCATAACTCACTGTTACATTTAATCTGTTACTACCGGAGCCTGCATATACTGTATATTCATCAACAGGAAAGCAAGGTTCGAAATAAAAACTGTTGTACAATATTTATCTTACCAGTACAAACAGACAGAAGAGTGGTTGAGACAAAGTATATCACTGCACGTAAACCAATTCTTTTGGAGGTTTTAACGCTTAGACCAGAAACTCCTGTAAGAAACAACAACAAAAGCTACAGTCAGCAGACTAAAGGAAGGCGATAAGTGTTAGAAAAGGGTAATGTAGTTTAAGTAGATAGGGAAGACAATTACATCTCAGGAAAAACAATGTTAGGTGTGTTGTTTGAGATGCCATTGCTACATTGCACATTTATGCTTGTGAAAAAACAAACTTTTAACAATTAATAACCATTACCTATGCTACACAACCTAAACAGCTGTGATTTTTCTACTGGACAACTATAATATATAATATAATATCTCTGGGATCTTTATGATCTTCAGCTCCTGAATGTGTGTAGACAACATATCACATGCAGTGTCGTACACATAAACATCCTGTGTATACAGTCACAGTTTATTGAGAGCTGAAGTTTCACCCACTCTGTGATTTAGCTTTAGTTTCATTTACCTCAGCCAGACAATGTTCTGTATTTTACACAGAAAGTTTCTTTCACGTGTCTTTCCAAAAAACCCGAAACATAAGGTAATTTTTTGTCAGTATTCAAAGATATGTGACAAAATATTCACTTCTGTAATGGCAGTTACAATTGAACACCAGCACACTATATAGCTATTATTTACAGCCTCAGAAGAGGATAAGAAGATTAGATGCTAAAGGTGCTGTTCTCAAAAAGTCCCTGTCCTTCCAGACACAATGTTCCAGTTACACTGAAAAATCCACAGAGCACATAATATATGTTTTTCTGACAATGAAATTGTCCCACTAAAGTTGGGGGCAGTAATGTCTCATAAA